TAAATTGATACATTAATCGTGTTTATTATATATTTTTTATTAAAGTGGAAATAAGTTTACTAAATAATATAAACTTGACTGACTGCTTCACTTCCACTTTAAAGGGATATTTATGTTGTTTATTATTTATTTTTATCTATACTATTTAGAATTTTTGTGCAATTACTTGGGTGTCAGTTGAGTTTGTGGCAAAACATTTAGCAGTGTTTACATGTTTATTACTGCATACAATTTATTCAAATAGATGTTTAATTTCATAAAGTACAAGCTGATTTCAAAATGCACCTACTTTTTTGCATTTTGTGTTTTTCAGTTGAATGAAAGACTATTTTTCCCTATACATTTCATCATTGAGGATTTCTTAAAAAAAGTAAAAAAAATCTGGTCTGGTCTCGTTCTCGTGAACCCAGTCTCGTGTCTCGTCTTGTGGGATAAGTGTCTCGTCACACCCCTATTTTTTATATTTAAATAATTCGCCACTGATGAATCAAACGCAAGTTTTGGGCAGTGTAGAGTAGCGCTTGTTGTTTGTCATTTCTCCGATCACAAATGCAGACATGGTTTTATGTTTACGCGGCACGATGCAACGCAACACGTAAAAAGACAGTATAAGTCATTATAATCCGTAATTACGTCCCCACTGGATGCAACAAATGCCTCGTTTATAATGGGTTTTAATGTTTTTGTCTTGTCGCTCCGGCTGGGACAGGGCATCACAGTATGGTAAGGGCCGTAACATTTCCGTCACATGCTTGAGGTATTCGGCCAATCACAACGCACTGGATAGCTGGCCAATCAGAGCACACCTCGCTTTTCAGACCGATGAGCTTTGTAAAAATCGACGTGTTTCAGAGAGGCGGGCCATAGAGGAGAAACAATAATGTACAGTATGTGGAAAATAATGTTTTTTGAACCTTAAACCGCATAAACACATTTCATTACACCAAATACACAAAATAATGTTCTTTTCAGCAACATCATATGACCCCTTTAACTGAAAATGAATAAATAAAATCTACAATAATTACTATTAGAAGAAAAGGGGCAATCTCATTCTTACATCTTTACTGGATATGGATGTAAGATGACTCATTTTAAATGTGGTAAATTTGGTAAAAGTTCTTTTTTTTCTTAAAGAAGTGCACAAGTTTAAAGTTGCAAGACATAGACTATAAGCCACGAAACTCTCATTCTGATTTTATAGAGTCTTTAAAGGATCACTGTCTGGTCACCATTCTGGATTCAAAAAGCCCTGAGCGTGTGCCGTAACTGCCGTTACAACATTCCACTGCATACAGTGTGCACTAGAGCTCCTCCCAATCTTCTTTTAGACAGTGATAATACACATTACTGAGCGCGGAGCCTGTAATAAGTGAGTGCAGAGAAGTACACTTTATTCATGGGCTAATTTTTTTGTGTTGGAGATAAAAAGCCGACGGGGTGCTCTTCAACTCATCTCTAGCAATTACACAAGGAAATGTCTTATAATTGGCTTTTGCTTTATGTCCAGCCATTATCAATGTCCCTTACAGGCAGAGAGAAAAATTGGGAGGAAGTTGGAGTACTCAAAGTCCATTTGCACATGAATTAGAATTGTTAATAGCGATGTGCAAAACTACATCTTTTCAAAATCAAGTAGTTTGTTGCCTGACAAATTTTTCTTATACGGACCATATATAATTATAGGCTGGATTTGGGGTCATCTGACCTCGATTGTCCCATTCTTATGGGGCGTTTATATAAGATATGTTCTTGTCTTTTTTCAATTTAAACTCAGTATTAAAAATGCAGCGACCATGACAAACTGCTAAAACAACAATGCAACAGTCAAAGACCTTGCAATGGCCAGTAGATTGTCTATAACAAAGTAAAAGTGGATATATCATGCAAACATCCCCATCACAAATTACCTCACAAATTGACTAGTCAGTTGTAAGATGCAAGACAGAAATTAAGATATATATAGAGAGAGAGAAAGAGATGACACTGCGTTTAATACACTATGAACAAGCATGAAAGATGGTGGGATCCCTCATCAGCTATGGTGGCAATTCTATGCCATTAATAACCGAGCGCACCACTGATGCTGGCGCGTGTGGTAAAGCAATTCCGTGAGAGGAAAACAGATTTACATGCGAGGAAACGGGAGCCCGCAAGCTAATTTCAAACCCTCATTTCAAACCCTAAAATTCAAATGCTTTTACTTTCCTGAACTGGGCGGTTATTTGCTGCATTCAAGTACACAACCTGCAAATACAAAGGAAAAAAGAATAATGCAACAAAAAGAACACAAATAAATACATTGGAACTGAATGTATTACAAGCTTCTTTTCCATAAACAGGAATCAATTTTCATATACATCATCGTGAATGGACTGATTTTGATAGCAGATGACTAGTAACACTGTAAATCAAATGCATACATGGCGAAACCTGTGATTTATAGGAACACAGACTAAACAAACCTTCAAATATTACGATGTATCTATTTACAAGATTAAAGATAAAACATTTTGAAAACTTTACTGTCATTCCTATAGCTTTATATATAGCCTGTGAGTGTGTGGATGCATCATTACAGTCTTTAAAAAGGGTTCATATGTGTATCTCTTATCATCAGAAGACTGCAATCATTAGTAAACCGAAGATAAGGCATCTGAAAAAGATCTACTCTATGAACAATGCATTAAATTACATTAAATTAAGACAAAATAAATAAATAAAACAAGCAAATGAAACGATAACTGACATGTCCACTGGTGCCATGTCTTAAGTCAAGAGAATTATAAATCATCTTATAACAGGCGTCCAAAACTGACTTCCGGAAAAGAGGAATAACCAATGACATTTGAGGTTACAATTAAAACAGCAAGCTCCGCCCCACGACTGACAAAAATAAAAGTGTTTGCGCGAGCAGGTGAGGGAAGATCGAGCGCGAGGATGTGGGGAATGATCACGCGCGCGCGAGGGCTTGTATTGCACGCAGAGGACGTCACGCGCGCGCGAGGGTTTGAAATGAGCTTGCGGGCTCCTGTTTCCTCGCGTGTAAATCTGTTTTCCTCTCGCGGAATTGCTTTACCGCGTGCACCAGCATCAGTGGTGCGCTCGGTTATTAATGGCATAGAATTGCCGCCATAATCAGCTTTGGTTTTACTCTGTGCCGATGACGCCCAGCACTTCCTATGTGCAGACTGGAGGAAAGCATAAGAGTGAGCAGTTTCCAGTGTCTGGAACTGAGGAGAAGGGACTCTGAGCTGTCTAATAGTATAAGATCGACTCTCTCTAATTGGGAGAGAAGTGGGACTTCCTTCTGGAAGCAGGCGGGAGATGGAGAAAGCACTGTTCTGTTTCGACAAACTGGATAGAACAGGAGACTGGAGGGCTTAACCTGAGGCTAGGAAAACAGACTGAAGAAACACACAGACTTAAACCCTGGCACGTACACACACTGATACACAGTGTGTGTGCCCACACTATAAGCTTCTTAAAATATTACACCATAAGAGACCTGACATTGTGCATCGGAGGATAAATTAAATGTAGTTTTTCCCAAAAATCTCCCCCACCTTCAAGTAACCTTCCTACTCTTATCTCTTTTTAATGATTGGTTGCATCTACTGTCTGTGCGGAGTGAGTTTTACTCTTGGTGATTGAAGACACTCTTACACTCTGTCCTAACCTGGTGGGATACAACAAATTTACAGAGTATAGTATTTTTTTCCTGTTTGCACTGAAAGTGAACTAAGCCAAAATACACAATCAGCTATATTTAATATGTAACAACTATGTGGAACAGAATTTTCAACCAATGAGATCACTGTGGACAGGGCTTCATTCATCCATGTATGTATGTACTGTATGTATTTATTTATTTATTGCACTGTGCCAACATATTAGACCCTTTTTTTTACATTTCTCATTAGATTATGTAATTGTAAGAAAAAATAATAAAATAATAAAATAATAAAAAAATTAACAAATGAATACTACCATGATGTAAAAATACTACAAATACAGAACTTAACATTTGATTGTTTTCTTCACATTACAGTAATTTGTTTAATCAAAATGTATTCATTTATTTTGATTTTATGGTTAAACACATCTTAGACATGTTCTTGACAGGTTCGATTATTTATGAAGTAGTCCCCCAAATCCTGCTATCCCAGATAGGCTAAACAGCCAGCGTAGCCACAGCGGCAACCACTGTCCCCGCCTAACTCTGAATCGTCTGCATCAGCAGCATCATTGATGCTGGATAAGTGCCACTCCATTACACATCAAATCCACCACCGCTGACCTGGCTTACAATCAAAACTTTAGGAGTCGGCTGTCCACGGCAGTCCTCAAAGTACCAGCACAATAACACACTTAGCAAAATATCGTCTAATTATCGTTATCGTAATCCCAGAAAATATCAAGATATTATTTTTTGTCAATATCGCACACCCCTAATAGTCAGTCTATTTAAAAAATACACAAATCCTACTCTTGTGGGGTTTGGGAAGATGTAAATTCACCAGAGCTGCTTCAGACCCCAGGGCGAGTTATCAGCCATAAACCAAGATGACAGATTGATTCAGGTGCATGCGCATATAGACGTGGCATGCTCACTTTTCCCTCTTCAATGTCAGTCAACACCTACCATCTACTTCTGAGCAGCTAGACAGCTTTCAGCTCACACCTTCATTTATTAGAGGACGTTTAATTTGCTGTTAGATATGAACACATTACCATCGCACTCACAAAAGAAATGAGAGCAGAGCATTGAGCTAAGAGCTCTGCTAATAGGCTATTTGCAGTTATTAGTCCACATTAATAATCAATTACCTGTCAGGCAAACTCTTTTTTAACCCAACTTTTAAGATAGCGGTGATCCTCGAGTGGGTTGTTGGGGAAACTCCAGCTAATGGCTTCATTTAAACATCACGGCGATAAAACCTGGAATTCTGGGGGGAAAGAGATTTCTGATGGTCAGTTGACAAGATGGATATTCTTACCTTGTTTTAGGGGATGTTGTCAACCATTCTTCATGCTTTTCAAATGTTATCAAGTATGCTGCAATTTCCTGTCAAACAGAAGACAGAAAGACAGGTAGGCGTTACTGTTAGAGAATATCAACAGCCTTTTAACATGTGTGCATTAATAAACTGAAATGAATGGATTATAAAGCACTCAAAATTAAACATGCATTAAAATCAATTTTAAAATGTCTATCTAAGACTATGTTGCATTCTAAACCGAATTGCGGGCTCAGGAACAGCACTGTGGAAATTGCATTCAGAGGATTTTGTGGACGTAGTTGCTCCCTCATTGTCTGAAGCTCACATTATATTATGTGAAGATGTGAATGAGATGAAAACCTCCTTACAGTGGCTGTTTGATTGCTGTAACAAAAGAGAAATCATTTCTTGGGATGCACAACAAGCATGACAGCAGATGATGCGATTTCTGGTACCGATGTTAACCCAGTCATCACTGTCACCCAACAAAAGAGACAAGTGGATGAGTGAAACGTATCCCATCATTCCTTCACAAAGCTAATCATGGGAAATGAAAGCAGACCGGGTACTGACAAGCAACCTCATGATTACCTGTGACAGCCAGCCATTCATTTCACATTGAGGGCATTTGTCATACAAAGACAGCAGGAAATGCGGAGGGACACAAATGATGTTATCAAAAAGGAGTCCAATTATTTACTGATCTTAGCACATTGTTCTGGGTAAATTAAGATGAAATGGAATAAACAGCTTTAAGGAAAGATTTGTAAAGACTTTACTATTTATGTATTAGTTTGTGGCAGTAATGTTACATGCAGATCCAAAAGATTAATCACAGGTACATACTGTACCAGCATAAAAGTGATCTACTTTGATTTCATTACAGTTTTAAAATTCAAATGGCTTTTCTTTGAAATCACTTAAATAGTGGTTCACCAAAAAACGGTCAATCAATAAGCTTACTTTCTAGAACATTACATCAACCAGTCTACACAATGTAAATCCATCACACTACAATCAATTTCAATATTCTGAGCTTGACAATATTTTATTTACTAACCTAATTAAACACTGTAAGCCTATCAATAATAGCCCAAATTCTACTCGATTCCCAAAAACCAATGGTATTCAGTTGCCCTTAGGAGGTGTAATATATATTTATAGTCAGTAACTCTATGTTTTAATTCTGTCACGGTTGGCAGTAGAGCCATCCCTTGAGGTACCAGGGTGCCAAGACTGGCAGAACCTACACAGAGAACGCTGGAGTTGGTGATGGCCTGCAGGTGCTGTCTGAGAGATCGCATAGCGCTGTTCTGATTAACGTTCTGCCCTCCTGTCATCAAGGCCAGAGGGAAAGAGACAAGGACGAGTGGAAGATGCTGTGGAATATGACCATGGAGAAGAGGAAGAGAACCTCTCCTTAATAAAAAAACACACACACTTGCCATGGCTTGCCAAACTGAAAATGCTACAGATGAGTTACTATATTGCATTTTTCAAAAGCTGTAAGCGGGATCTTCACAAATATAAACCAAGTTTTGCAGTAACTACACTTGCACTTAATTTGTTTTGCTAATTAAAAAAGAGAAAACTTGATCTTACTAAACACTCATTTAAAACAGTTCATGTGTGCGGTTCAGAAAATAAAATAAGTCCTTGGTGCATGGTGCTAATTTACCACAGTGCTTGTGAGTAATGTTTGGGTTTACAAGCCAGAAAGACAGCCAGGGGCGAAACTCCTTAATTGACCTTGAGGCCCATTTGAGATTGTTCTTCTTTATCGTTTTCCCATTAAAAGTCAACATGCCGACCTCAGAGCTAGGGGGATGAGCCGAGAGGCCCGGTCCAGTAAATAAAAGCCAAACGTCGGCATCCCCCACCCACTCCCCGAACAGATGTCGAGGATTATTCCAACCCCCGATCAGCCATAAAGGTGCAATAACCTTACGGTGAGAAAAAAAAAAAAACACAAACAAAAACAGAGGAGCCATTAAACAGCTGCGAGAAACAAAGTTTGTGCTGTGTTATAATGAGCGGCTAGTTCTCTGTTGAGTAGATTTGGTGCAGATGGGGCATCAAAGTCTGGCCAGCAGCTGTCAATCAAGTGCTCTTTAAAACTTGGGTCAGTGATATATGAGTGTCCATGATAAAGAAAAGAATAAATCTTTAAAAATATACTCTTTGTATTCCTGTTGGTTTTATATGGTTTTGAAAAACCCCTTTCAAGTAAAGTTTCAAATTTCAGTTTTCCAATATGTTCAAAAGATTTTATATATACACATATATGATATTTTGAAAATACTGGAAAACTATTTCTTCTGTAGTGAAACAATTAGTCATCTTGAGGAAAAAAAATTAATAAATAAAAAAAGTATACACTACAAATGTTTGCCTTGGTCCAGCTGAAATATGCACGTTGCTGGTCAAGAGTGATGTACATGACAAGAACCACCACATTGTTTGCAAGCAGAACATTTGTCAACCAGAAAGATTATAATGTTAAATTATAATTAAATTAAAATAGGCAAGTGTCTTTGAGCCATTAAAAATAAAAAAATTTATGTAGTTCTCTTGTTCACTTGAATTACATTGAGAAAAAACCTGGAATGTTTTCCTCCAAAACTTTAATGTCTCTTCGACTGAAGAAAGAAAGTAATATACATCTTGGATGGCCTGGGGGTGAGTAAATAATCAGGAAATTTTCATTTTTGGACGAACTATTTCTTTAAATCTCATGTGGTGTGGTGACATTATATTTATAATATAAAAAATGTATGTGTATATATTATATAAATATCATGTCACTACACCACATGAGATTTATGAGATTTACAGTTTTTTTTTAAATAATATCATTAAGATTTTATGATTCATTATAATACCATGTTTGTTAATGTTAAGAAATCAAATCATAGAGGTGGCATTGTATTTTTGAACAAAACAAAAAACACATCATTGTCCTACCTACCACATACAGGTTTGATTAAGTCAAAAGGTAGCAAATAATCTTTATAAACCAAAAACAGTGTGCCACAAAGCTGCCTGTACATGTATGCGCCTGACATCTCTGCACCACACTCCAGCATTACTACAAAGGAGAAGAGGACCTTGACATTGGAGAGTCTGTAAAATCCATGTATCAGGAGCTTACATCAGAAAAGCTGATTACTGAGAACCGTGTCTACCTGCACCTGTTTAAAATGCTCTTAATATGCTAAATGGTGTCACCTCTACAAGGTGAACTAGCATACATGAAACACTTTCTTTCACCTTTTTTCTCCATGTCCTCCTGTTTCTGTCTCCATCTGAGGGCAACGCGTAAACGAGAACCTCTGATAGGCACATCTCTGATTCAATTTTAAAAACACCTCCCTGATAGGATACCAGACAACAGCGGCCTCAATTTTCACTCAAACTGTCATCCACGACAGCAGCTAAAGCAAGAGGGTCTTTTGTGAATATAAGGAAACGTCTGGCAATTTAAAATAAAATATGACACGCATATTTCCCTTCCTTTGTTTCTGGTGTGGAAAATTGACACAATAACAGCATAATGCAAGCAAACACAATTTCGCCCAATCCTTCCATCCTTTTTAAATCTAGAGGAGACAGAGAAGCAGCTATGCAAATGCAATTCCCATCACATTTCTCCTGCGCACAAGACGCTGCTTGTATTGGCAGACATTTGATGAGGCGTTTGTTCCACCGGTAGTAAGCGTGTCCCTGGCTGACCCTCGGTGAGCGTGTTTGTCGTCTCTACCTTTTGCTTTTGAGTCTTAGATTGATGTTGGTAAGGAGAGGTGTCGGAAGCATCAAAATTCAGTTTGAAGTGACAGGGCTGATCACTTGAAACAACGACAGACATTCCATTAAAAGCGGAGATCGGCATCTATCTGACATTATCCCAGCACCCATCAGACACTTGCCTATAAACACCATCCATACCACATCTCACTGTTCCTATGAGCCATTGAGCAATTGAGACTAAAAAGCTCATAGACATTCTCAGGGGAACATACTCCTCTATTTGAATACTAATACTCTATTAAATCTAAATCTAATTTAAGTCTTTGGGACTGTTTAATTTAAAGGTCCCGATGTCTCTTTTGAGTCTGAAACAAAAAAGTGACTTGATCAAATGGATTCATCATTCACAGCGTGAGTTTTCATGGGTTGCGCATATGTCAACCTCATTCTTTCAACCCACACTGTTTTCCACTAGCACTCCCAGACTTTAGTGTACTTCTCTGAAAAGAGTCTTATACTAAAACACACTTTCAAGCTTTCTGCAGCATTCTACTCTGTTATAAAGGCACAAATAAGTCCCAGATATAGTGGAGTAAGTAAATGGGTTACAGAATGCCTTTACAGTATAAGATAAATGTTCTTGAGAAACAGATGCGAGCCTACAGGATATTTGCTTACTTTATATAGAACTGTATAAAATGATGATGCTTTCATTAGATTGAATAGTGAATAAACTGAATTCATGTACAGTGGGGTCCAAACTTCTGAGACTAAATTGAAAATCTGGGATTCAAAATGTAATTTAAACCTGGAAGTAAACAAAGGATGCTGAAAATAAAATAAAATGATAAGATGACTTCATGTTACTCTAATTGGTGGACTTTTTGACACTTTACATGTTACAATCCTTAAAGTTTTGGTGGAGTGCTTGGTGTCACACAGTATATGATTCTGACCTTGTTCTCCACTTGAGAGCAGGAAGTCTGTGCAAGAGGGGAAGATGGATATGAGGGATTGGGGGGCGGGATGAGCCTCTCAACCGATTCTATTCCCCATGATACCTTGTTCTCACTGGAAAGTGAGGTCATCTGATATTTCCTGCAGGGCAACCCATGAAACTGACCTGGCCAGGGCAGGGTGCAAATGGATTTGAGGGAAACCAGGGGAGAGGATTGAACTACCCAGGCATCCCTTAGGGCGAATTGAAATGCAATTAGACATAGAAGAGAGTGATACGCAGGGAGTGACAGTTGAGGAGGGAACAGGGAGATGAGAGGATAAATGAACGAGTGTGGGAGAGGTGTGAGGGTATAACAGA